CCAACTCATAGTGACCCCCAGTGAGTTTCCAAAGTGGTAAATCTTAACAGAAGGAGATTGCCCTATCTTCCTTCCACAGAGTGATTAGTGGGTTTGAACTGCCAACCTTCTGGTTAGCAGTCAAATGCCTTGGGCACTGCACCAAAATGAAAGTGCTTAAAACTGGACCAATAAGCAACATCACAATAAATGAAACATTGAAGTTGTCAAGGATTTAATTTTTAATTTTTTTTTTATTGTGCTTAGGTGTAAATTTACAGAATAGAATTTATTTTACATTCGATATTTCGTATACATTTGGTTTTATTCCCCAATTACCATCCCCAACCTTAACCCACTCTCCTCCTCTCCCTTCCTGGTAACCACACACACCCCCATGCCCTTCTGAGTTATGCACTCCTGTCTTGTCAGCTTTTCCTCCATGTGACTGTTGCCCCTTTTGTGCCCCATGGCCAATTGTCCCAAGGGAAGTATCTCCATAGAGTAGGTGGGTGCATCACCCTGGGTTAAGTGTTCTACATGTAAGTCTTATTTACTGTTGGGCTGAGAGTCAGCCCTTGGGATCGAGTTTTATCCCAGTCCCGAAGTGTATCCCAGGGCCATAGTCTTGGGGGGGGGGCTCCCACCAGACTCCATTTGACCAGTAATTCTGGTCATTATTTATGTTTTTGGACTTAGTTCCACATTTTTCCTCCCACTCTATCCACAATCTCCAATTTTGATCCCTTCCCAAGTGGTTGGCATTGGTAGCTGGTCACCATCTAGTTCCTCTGGTCTTGAGGTCCATCATGTCCTCGGGCTGATTGTTTCCAAATGCTCTTGGTTTTCTTCACTCTTCACTTCCAATGATAGACCATTAGCTGCATCTTAGCTGGCCACACAAAAGCTTTTAAGACCCCAGTTGCTACTCACCAAAGTAGATTTTGGAACAAGATTTTTATGTATTTTGTTGTGCCAATTGAGTCTGGTGCCCCCCAATACTACAGTCCTGAGGTGGCAGAGCCAGTGGATTCTCTCTTCCACAGCATCTGGCTGGCTGTGAAGGATTGCTCTGTATCTGTCATCTTTTGTTTCTGCAACTATTGCAGTTATTTTGTATCACTAGTATCTGTGCAAGATTAGGCTCATCTGAATCTTTCATTGGTCTAGAGTATATTCTTGTTCACTGACACCTATCTGATCTTCTCAGTTGTTTATGTATTTATCTGTAGCCTTGTGTTTGGTATTAGTGGTAATGCAATCATTTTATTTGGATCCACAATCAACACTTGTGGAAACAACAATCAAGAAATCAAACAACATATTGTATTGGGCAAATCTGCTGCAAAAGACCTTTTTAAAGTGTTAAAAAGTGAAGAGTCAGAAGTGAAGAGTCACATTGCAGACTAAGGTGTAGCCTGATCCAAGCCATGGTATTTTCAGTAGCTTCTATGCATGTGAAAGCTGGACAATAAATAAGGAATATCAAAGAAGAATAGATGCATTTGAATTACAATGTTGGCAAAGAATATTGAATGTATCACAGAGTGCTAGAAAAACAAATCTGTCTTAAATGAAGTACTGCCAGAAGGCTCAGTAGGAGGGAAGATGGAGTGACTTCGCATCTCATACTTTGGTCATGTTGTCAACAGGGACCTGACAGTCCCTGTTAAAGGATATCATGCGGGTTAAAGTAGAGGGTCAGCAAAAAAAAGAGGCAGACCTTGAAAAAGGTGGGTTGACACAGTGACTGCAACAATGAGCCCAAACATAGCAAGGATGATGAGGATGGTACAGGACCGGGCAGTGTTCATTCTGTTGTGCGTGAAGTCTCTATGAGTCAGAACCAATTTGACAGCACCTAACAACGAAACTAAAATTTTTGGTTTTGTTGTTTTGGTTTGTTGCTTTGGTTTTGTTGTGTTAGGTAGTATCCAACTATCATAGTCCACCCCTTGTCAACTTGGCAATTGTACACATCTTCTTAACCATAGATAATCTTTACATAAGGACAATTATAGAGTCGTATTTGCACCTAACATGATACCCTAACACATGTACAACCGAAACGCATTAACCTCATTTACATTTCACAGTTCATAACAGAAGGAAACAAAAATATTTGATGCACATATACAATGAAGAAATATAACAATTACAGTCCTCATTTCTGCAACTGGTCACATAGTCGTAGCTGATATTCAGAATTACCTTCTTCTACCAACCATTCCATATTTTCCTTGCCCTCAGCAAGCACCTCAGCTGGTTGTGGTTCTTTGCCTGGTAGAATGACCCAAACCTTCATTCCTGAAGGGCCTGAGCCATTAGTAGTCATATCAGAATTGGGTTGCTGTAATTTTCCATTGACTTTAATCACAGGCATGGTAGTACTAAGAGACATCCTAAAGAATCTCCTGTATTCCAGATTATTCCTCATTACCTCCATTATGTAATGTCAATCCAATTTCCCCTTGGTAATCAGGATTTATCACACCAGATAGTAGAATAACACCCTTCTTTGCCTGTTGCTCCAGAGGCATGAGGAAGCCAAAATGGCCAGGTGGCATTCTTAACTTCCAGTTCAATGCAATCAATATTGTGTCTCCAGGTGGGGGTGTTCCTCCCTTTGGGACTAAGATCTCCAAACCCACAGAGCATAGAGTACCAGGGACAGGAAGCAAAGTTTTTTGAGTCAGTCACTAGTGAGTGGTACCACTCCTATTTCCACCCCTTGGTTCCTGGACCTGTGAATCCTGGCTATTGAAGAAACAACACTGTATATTGGATGCTGGTTTAGAGCATATACAGCCTCCTGGAGAACATTACCCCAACCCTTCAAGGTATTGCCATGTAGCTGGCACTGTAATTGTGTTTTCAGTAGGCCATTCCATTGTTCTATCAAGCCAGTTGCTTCAGGATGATGGGGAACATGGTAGGACCAGTGAATTCTGTGAACATAAGCCCATTGCTGCACTTCATTTGCTGTGAAGTGAGTCCCTTGATCTGAAGCAATGCTGTGTGGGATACCATGATGGTGGATAAGGCATTCTGTAAGTCCATGG